CACAACCATAAATTTGTAAATTCAAACAAAGACAACTTTCTCCAAATGTGAATTTTAAGGTGAAATTCTCATCCATATTATGGAGGAAAAAAATGGAACCCAAGAAAAAGAAAATGTAAATGGAGCCTCTTATCTGGTCTACACTGTCGGTTCCAGACTGTTTTAAGGGTCAACCAATGGGTCAATATGTCAATGCAACCAATGTTATCATGTGACAGTTGTGCAAAATGACATCCTTTGGTAAGTGAAAATAGATACTGGAAGTAGCCTGTTGCTGATGGATGCTGCTTCCATTAGGAGTGCTTTCAGCAGCAAGTAAGCAGCCTAACAGTGACTTAAACCAGCAGAACATTTCACTTTTTTTTGCAACTTTATTGATATATAATAGATATGTAACATATGTAAATTTAAGGTATAAGTTGATGATTTGATACATGTGTATATTGCAAAATGATTATCACAATGAGGTTAGTTAATAACTCCATCACATCACATAATTTCTTTTGTGAGTGTGTGGTGATAACATGTAAGATCTATTTCTTAGCAACATTCAAGAATCTAATACAGTATTGTTAAATATAGTCACTATGCTGCACATTAGATCCCTGGAACTTACTCATCTTCCAGCTGGAAGTTTGTATCCTTTTACCAACATCTCCCCATTTCTGCCACCTCCCAGTGCCTGATAACCACCATTCTACTCTCTATTTTTATCTGTTTGACATTTTTAGATTCCACATATAAGTGAGAAGATACATAATTTTTCTATTTCACTTAGCATAATGCCCTCAAGGTCCATCCATGTCACAAAAGGCAGGATTTCCTTTTTTATGGCTGAGTGATATTCCATTGTGTGTGTGGGTATATACACACACATACACAGGATTCCAAAAAATTGTACACACATTTTAATAAAGGAAAAAACTGTATTAAAATTGTAATAATATATACCGATAACGAAAGATGAATAGAAGTCACATTTGATTTCTGCAATTACAAGAGGTGCCCAAAGTAGTTACCATCAGCGTAATTTTAATAGTTTTTTTTACCTCCTTAAAATGTGTATACATGTTTTTGGCACCTTTGGCACCCTCTGTGTATATATACATACACATGCACACACATTTTCTTTATTCATCTGTTGATGGACACAAGTTGTTTCCATGTCGTGGCTGTTGTGAATAATGTTACAATGAACGTGGGGGTGTAGTTATCTCCGTGACACAGTGATTTCATTTCCTTTGAATAAATACCCAGAAGTGGAATTGCTGGATCATATGGTAGTTCTATTTTTTTTTTTTAGTAGCTGCCATACTGTTTTCCTTAGTGGCTACACCAATTTACATTCCCACCAACAGTATAGAAGAACATTGTTTATTGTTTATTCATCAATTAGAGAAAGGAGGCCCCAGGAATTTTTCAGCAGCTCAATGGTATTATGGATTTAGGGTCTTTTCCTTCTTCTACTTGATCATCCTCCATTGATTGGCCTTTATCATCCACTGGTTTAGGACTAGGATAATGGCTGTCCTATTGGCAAGCATCCCAACATAATTGAAGCATCTCAAACAGGAAGGAATAGGGCAGGGGTATAAAAGATTTTCATCTCATGCAGTTGTCTGTTTGTTTAAATCGGGGAAATATCTTTCTCATGGCTCTTCCAACAGAGATTACCTGGAATTGGGTAGCATGATCATCTCAGAGCAATCACTGCAAAGAGGATACTGTCATGATTGACTTAGATCAATGATTCGTTACTAAGGCCTGGGACTCAGGCAGACTAAACAGAAAATTGTAATCATCTTCTAGATAAGTGTTTGTATGTTTCTGATAATAGCTGCTGTTTGAAGATTAACCCACTCATCCAGGCATAGATACATCAAATTATAGCTGACTAAAGCCAATAGTGTTCTGAGAAAACTCTTTGTAAACTGTATGTGCATAAAAAGGATAAACAATCACTCCCCTAATTACCAATTTACACCTGTTTCCAGCTTGGGCTCAAGTTACAGCAACACCAGGATGCACAATGCTTTAAGAACAGCATAGGGTTGGAGGAGGCCAGACCATGATTCGAACCCTGTTTCCACTACTTGTGACCTCTGTTACTTTGGGCAAGGTTTTCAGTTTTCTCAACTGTAAAATAGGAAGATACTATCTTCCATATAAGGTAGTTGTGAGGACTGAGACAACATAGGGAAGTCATACAGATGTGAGATGATTAATAAGTACAATTTGGTCTGGCAGTGATTAGGCCTGTGTAAGTGCATAGGTGTTATAAAGGGAACATATTTCCTTTCCTGTAGGTTAAGTGTAGTTGAGCAAGCATTTGAAAAGGAAGGGTGGTAGCAGAAGAAAGGGCATTAATACAATTCAGAGACATTTCTTTCACATAGATATCAACTATACTGCATACCGGCGACTAAAAACAAATATTGGCTCTCTTTCTTATTGAGGATTACCTAATGATTTCCTATGTGTCACTTAGAAGTAATGGAATTTTTTAAAATAATAAAGTTTATAATAGAAATTATTTGTTAGGAAGCTTCCAGTGAATTCACTAATAGGGGAACTGTTTATGTAGGGTAATCAGAATATTTATACAGCTATTTTTAAATGGTGTGATGTGAAAGAATGATCATTATAAAACAGCTCACAGCTACTGAATATTTCTGTCCCAGGTTTTGTTCCAGTATGTCACATGGGTCAGTTCTTTCATTTCATGCCCACAATAATCCAAAGAAGCAGGTATTATTATTGTCTCCATTTTTCGGATGAGAAAATGACGACCACAGAGGTTAAATGACTTCTTGAAGTTTGCAGAGCTGGTAATAAGCAAAAACTCAATTCCCCATTCAGCTGCTACACTGTATAAGCTTTCCATGGAAGCAGAGCTGGGGCTAATTGGCGCAACTATTGAAACAAGGCCAGTAGTAATTAGCTGGTCTGTATAAGCAGGTGGCAGTTTGTCCTCATATGTACAGTGGAAAAAGTTTAGCTTTGCCTGTGGGAAGGAGTTGGGGGGGAGGGGGGAGAAGAAAGGGGCAGTGTTCCCATCATGTGTGGACCGAGATGTGCATCTCACTATTTCTCCACATTTTTAAATGGCTGCACTGTATGGGTAAGAGCAAGACTGGTGAATTCCATCTCCCAACAACCTTGATGAAACGAGCAAATGTCCAAAACAAGTATGAAATTTAATTTTAGACAGGCAAGTTCAAATAAATCATTTGGTTATCAGTGAAAAACAATTTGTTCTACCATGGGCAACACTGTAATAGATCTGCAAGTGCAAAAACAATTTTCAAGAAAGCACACACATAATTTGAAGATACTTTATTAAGATCAAAGGTTTTCCATTACATTTATTTATAAATCCTTACTAGTCAAAAAGAAAATAAATAATAAAAATCTATATCTTCAGGAAGCTTTTAACAACATAGTTTTGTAAATCTGAGAAGTTTCCATGTTTGTCCATTTTAAATTATTACAATTTAGATACATTCAACCATTATACAATACCAGGAATGTCAGCCTTAAAAAAATCAAGAATGTCTATATATGTAAGTAAAATAATAGTAAAAACTTATATTTCAATTTCACCTTTATATTTTTAACCAACTTTAATTTGTTAATCATGGAGATATAGAATTTTTTTCCCTGATCTTGTGTTTTAAATATATGGACTTTAAAAAGTAAACATTCCTATTCTCTCTATAGTGGCTGACACTGTCTTAGGAACAGGCTACTCAAAGAGTTAGTACAGTGAGGTACACAGGCTAGTCTCCTTGCAGGAGGAGGAGGTTGGGGGTGCAGGAAGAACAGAATCAAGGGCCTTTTGCTACAGTTATCAACCAGCCCTTGGAGCTGGCCCTGCCTTATTAAATTGTAACCAGATCTCTTGGAAAGCATCAAGGTGGTCGTGTAAAGGTCACTTGTAAGACCATCTATATGACCTGATAAATGATTTCTCAAAGTGCCCCCTATCCTTTTCATTATTTTCAAAATATTGTTCAGCTCTAGTCTAAAAAGGGAGAAAGGTCTGGACAGTTATATTTTTGTAGCACCTCTATCACCAAGAAATAGGACTCAGTCTCTACCACCTTCCACTATCTTTACCCCCACAGTAAAGAAATGAGGCAGTTATCTGCAAATGGAAAAAAAAAATCCATGGAGATATTTCAGAACCAAGAATTTGGACTGCCTAAATTATTCATATGATTACCTAAATGATTATACATTTCCCATTACTCTTTGTATAGGAAAGGCTGATCTATAGAAAATTTTAGTCAATATTCAGAGGNGCAGCGTCACTGGCCCTCATGTGGGATCCGAACCGTGGCCCTGCTGCTCAGAGCTTGTGCTCCCAAGCCAACTCTTAACCTACGTGCCACTCGGTGGGCCTCATCCTTACTAACTCTTGATTAAAAGGTACAAAGGGCTTCTCCAGGTCATTCTGGCTCTTGGAGGTCAGCACTCTAGTGTGCAGCCATCTATGGAGGGATAATCTGTGGCCTCTGGGTAATGAAGAAAAAGCTGTGAGTTGTGTTTCTGCTGGAGGCTATACGGTGTGACAAGGAATTGAATGGCTTCATCCACTGGCACTCTCAGTCCACGGTGTTCATAAGACGTCCTAGGGTGCCAGGGAGAGGTCTGCGTGACAGCTGCAATAAGGATCTCAGGGTATACAATTCCTGTGAAATGCCTAGCTATGTATACAGAACCCAAATCTAGGATATAGATGGAACCAAAATCAAAGGAGGACTGAGGAAAAATGTCCATTGTTAAAAATTAGAAACACTTATACTAATACATAAGAATTCATTACACATACTATAATGTAATGTATTTTTTAAAATAAAAAATACATAGAAGAAATACGTAAGGGTCATTATACTGAGCAAAAACTGAATATAAACAAGAGTTACAGAGAACTTGAGGCTTCCCCTATTCTTCCTGTCTAATAGTAAAATGGGCTTTTTGTTCACCGAAGNAAAAAATATGCCTTTCAAATAGTTCATAAATATATAAAATTTCACTACATTCTATTTTTTCTTTAAACATGACATCTAAACTCTCTTTACAAACCAACAAAAAATATTTTTTTTGTTGTTTGAAAGTCACAGATGCAACAGTTTTTGATTGGCAGGATCTTACTGCATGCAGGAACGGCAGGACATGTTCTCTGATGTAACTTAGGGACATTTATAGTATTTTGAACTATGTAATTTACTTGCTGAAGATCAGTAGTATCAAAGAAAAATGACAGATCCCATCTAAATATTTACATTAGAAGAATTTTTCTTAAACTTCTTTAAAAATAGCAAGATTAGGATGGTATCTGGCCAGTGTTAAGATTATTTTGATGATGAAGAAATAAGTTAACATTACATGAAATTTTTCTAAAATACATCTTAGTGCAATTTAAGAATATGGTGATTAATTGTGCATATTTAAAATTTTTTCTTTAACTGTATCAGTAACATATAAAACCTCTACTTTTAGAATAGGTATCAGATTCTTATAATTTGTTGGGAAAATCCAAAGCCAGCTAAAAAAAAAAAAACCTTTTTGGTAACTCCAGAAATGTTGTATGAGGATATACAGATAAAAATGTCCTTGGTAATCATTTCTTCATTTCTTACCCCAAGATATCACCATTCTAAGATTAATGCCGTAAGGAAAAGTTTTTAGTAACATATATAATTTTAAGTCTATCTTCCCTTATTAAATATTTGTTGAGTCACAGATATGTACTCATAAAGGCCTTCTTAAGCTATAATGCGAAGGCCACTCAATAAGGCAAGTTTTCAGTAATTCCTTTAAGAAGATTCTTAAATGCACACGCTGTGAACATGCAGCAGGTCCTTGCATGATGTCATTTTGATCAATGTAAGTTTCGTTGTAACACTGATGGGATGCCATAGGAACTTAACTCTTGTTTATACCAATGAGTTTATAGTAACACTGGTTTCATTATGCATCATTAAATACCCACTTTTCAACAATGATGTTAACTGAGGAATTACTGTATTGTATATACACATAAGAAAAAGGTTGCACTTTTAGAATGGAAAGAGGACTCCTTACTGGCAGCCAAGGTGAATCTATGATGATCCACCCCAAAAAAACAGCACAGCTGTCCTGTCAGCAGCTGCTCAAGGCTGCTGAGTTAATACAATACTTTCAACTGCTAACATTCAGACTTGATGGCAGTGACCATGCCTGAGACCAGCTGAAGCACTGAACTCTAATATATATTCTCTAAGTATGCGTCTCTAAAAAGTTCAACCTCATCTTGGAGATAGAGCTAAATATTGAAGACATCCAGAAAGTTCAAAGCTTTGCTCAGAATACACTATACTGTGTAAGTTTCAATTTTGGATCTTAACTTAAACATTGTGTTTGAAATAAGGCTATATAAAAAGATGCAAACAAACCAACACTCAATTGTAACCAAGATTGCACATCTACGACAGTGATATAGATTTTAAAAACCCTACCACCAAAATGGTAACTGATTTAATCATACCCTCTATCAAAAAAGATGATTATGGAAATTCCCCTTAGTTATGAATGCAACCAGCTCACAGGGACCCAGTGAGTCTCTGTCTCTAGTTTGTCAAAAGTTGCTTTTAGCTCTTTGAATGCCACGGTGAGATCATCATTTACTATAATTTTGTCAAAGAGATGACCGTACTGGCTTTCCATTACCTGTGCTGATTTAATCATTTCTTGAAAGTCTTCTTCCTACAAAAGGAAGTTTGTTTTTTTATAGTGGTTAACCAGGCAATTACATCACTTCACATCAGTGCAAACATTCTACAACGGGTTTATCTAATGCTGTTCCGTGTCAATTCTTTCACCTCAGCTTGATAGGAAAATTACCCTCTTTAATTACAAGTTCTTCAGGAGTCATCATTTCTGTTACCACATCTGTGATTTGCTTGTAACTAAACTGCTTGGACAAGAGTCACAACTCCTGTCTCACCTGAAGTTCAGGATGATCAGTCACTAACTTATCATTAGAGGGATATTTCAGTTTAAAATAGTTATGGGGGAGGGGTAGTCTCACTCTGGTGCTGCATTATTTATGCCTATTCATAGCAATGAATTTATAACAGAAACTACTTTTTCAGAGTTGGATACACACATTTATAAAACCGCCGCTATCGTGTCCTTTTCATGTCTCATTAGAAGTGGGTCAGGGACCCTTCATATTCATATTTTTGAAACCAAGTATTTTAGTTGATTATATAACTCAAGACTATATTAACTATACACATTGATTATATAGTTGATTATATAACTCAAGACTCTATTAACTATATACACACACATATAAGTGAACTAAGTCCTGACTATTATCATTTATTATCTCCATTGAGTATCCTTAAATTTATAAATAGTACAATAACTCTTTACACTGCAACATACTAAAGTAATTTCAGAGTCCACATTTCAATGTCACAGAAGACGTCACAACAGAAAATGTAACATTAGTGTTAATCAAGAGCCCTGAGTAACAAATATCATATGACAGTACCTACTCAGTAAGGATAGGTGTTGTCAGTATTTTAGAAAAAAGAGTCTTATCAAATATTAAGACTCAAAAACATAATCTGTATTTTGTAACTACAATTAATAGTGTACAAATTAATATAGACTAAGGTTAAAGATGACTTCATTAAGAGAAGAAGGGGAAGAATAGCTCTTGACATCTAATTTCTTTGCTTTTAATTTTTGATGCTAAAGGAAAATATATTATCTTAAGGTAAAAAACAAAAAAACAATGACAGGCTTGCCAGAAATCGTTAATCATTAATATACCACAGTCGCCATTTGTAATAACACTCATAGGAAATACAAATATTATTGAATAATAATACGAGTCTATTTGTCTTAATCCAAAATGATGCTTTTTCTTTTACAATGCTAAATATGACTGTTAATGCAAAGAAATAAAAAAGGCAAATTATTAAATTTTTCATCTAGACTATTAATGAGTAAGAGCAACTGGCTTTGATATTTTTCCCTTTAAAAATAAGGCTAGTCTGAAAACTAAGTGGTCTAACTTTTATATAAATGGCCAACAAAAATTTTATTAGTATGCAAAATAGTTTGAGTCAATGTAGTATGAAGATCCATCCATGGAAGCACAAAAAGCAATTACAGCACAATCACTCAAAATGTATGTATCTAAATACAATTCTATATTATAGATTTTGAATCACAACTCTACCTATTATACTCTTCCTAAGGTAGTTGCTACTGCGTATTTGATTTTAAGTACTGTTTGTGTATTTTCCCTAAAGTATCATCATACTTACTGTAAAGGGCTTTGCAGCACCTTGGTCATCTCTGCTTGAAATAATCTTTGCATTTTTTCTTGTTTCCCTCAAACGCTCTATTGATGGAGGCTTTATAAATATCACATAGGGCTTAAATTCAAGTGTCCTTAAATGCTTCACTGTCTGCAAGGAAGAAAATAGGTTTCTTATATTTCTCCATAATATCATGAGTGATTTTTACAATAAAACTGAATTTTATTTC